CCTTCTTTTAGTGCCACAAGAATGCAATTAAATATGGATGAAATAAAAAGATGCTGATATTGATTAAGAATAGCAAGGTAATGTTAGAGTTTATTATTTCATAACAGCATTACCAGAAACTCAATCACCCTTTGATATGGCAGCACATACGGCACATAATATCACCCACTGTTCTGAAGCGCCCTGTTAGACAACCATATGTGCTGACAAGAGTCTCTGGTTGTTCACGGGCTTATTCAAGATATACTGGCTGCTTTTTCTCAAAATGTCCTTGATTTACTGTTTTACATCTAAATTAGAACTTTCAAACTGCAAATATTCATGCTCAGTTTTAAAGTGCTACAGCACATATAATTTTAGCCTGAAATACCAAACTTCATTTCTACCAGACAAAAACAAGGAACGCCATGACACTCAGGAAGAAAGGCTTATTTTATTATTGTTAACATTCTTGCCTAAATACTTTTCCCACTTTATTTCCTAACAGTACATCACTCTAGATGTGACTTTCTTTGTGATGGTAACATCATAGTCCTCATTTCACCTTTTATATTTTAGTATCCAGTTTACGTACACACTGTAAGTTCTCTGCGGTTGGAAGAGTGGAAACCTCCCATAGGAAATATATGTAAATACCATCAGTTATGACACAACAAATAATGATTCTTTTGTGAGTCAGCTGTGGCTGCTCTGAATAATACAATGTGGAAGAGAGCTCATCACAGTAAAAAGGGTACTGTAGGATATTTTCTGAAAGGAAAAGTAGAAAGCATGGAAACACACCAAAAATAAGAGTATTTTGCAAAGGCAAGTTAGGCAGAGAGCAGCACAGAATAAAATTGCAGAACATGTCCTTTGAAATTCTTGACATTGTCTTTTTATTGATATGAATTAAATTTGGATCTTCCTGCTTTTTAAGTTAACGTAAAATTGGGTCATTTTATTTCTTTGACATAAGAATTCCTTTGGAAACAGAATTGAGATGATTTAACGTAGAATTTAGGAAAGTTTGACTTAGTTCCTTATGATTTTCTGTTGAACAATTAGGACCACACAGTGCTTGCGAAGCACATAATAAATGGCCTCATAAATAAGTCTGCAATAGAGTCTGTCAGCAGGGAATCATCTCTTAGTAGTGTGTGTCTCATGGATTTTCCTGTGACTAAGTTTTACAGTATTCAACATTCTCCTCAGTGACCTAAAAGTAAATATAAAATCAGCACTAATAAAAGCTGCAGAAGACAGGAGAGTTGTCAGAGTTGTAACTAACAGTGAATGAAGATAAGTCAGTGTGATTTGGGTCAGCTGGTAGACTTGTTGATTCAAACAAACTGTAATTTAATACTGCAAGGTACAGCTATTCCTACAGAATACTGAACTTTAAACTGAAAAAAAAAAAAAAAGTGACTTGAAAATAAATTATGGAGTCACAGCAGACAAGAATCTGAGTTCTTATTGTGATGCTATGCACAAAGTGGCATACAGACTGAATGTGCAAATAGAGTAGTGAATAAAAACAGAAATATTTTTAACTCTATGTGTAACACTGGTGACAATGACATGCTGTCTCTAGATGTGAAACATACAACTTAAAACTGGTGGTGAAAAAGACTGACAGAGCAGGAGAAAGCTGAAAAAAAAAAAAAAAAAAAACCACCAAACCCAAACAAAAAAAAGTGAAAGACTTAAAGAGTTTGCTGCTTATTTTAGCAAGAACATCAAAAACTTGCTTGGATATGTTGTTTTGCACAGTGAAAATATCAGGATCTCTATCAGAGAAAGGAGCAATACTAGAGAAAGGGCAATGCGTGTTTACTTAAGGCCAATCTGCCTTTCAGAAAGAAGTTCTAACAACAGAAACATTTGAGACTTGGTCCCACACCACATCCTTATCTCTAAACCAGAGAGATGTGGATTTGAAGAGTGTGCTCCTCAGTGGATATAGAGTTGGTTGTAGCCAACATGTTGTTGTTAATGATTCAATATCCAGATGGAGACCTGCCACAAACAGTGCCTCTAGCATTTCATCCTGGGAACAGTGCTCCTCAACATCTTCATCAGTGACACAGACAGTGAGATCAAGTGCACCGTCAGCAAGTTTGCTGCTGACACCAAGCTGAGTTGGGCCATTGATACAATAGAAGGAAGGGATGCCATTCAGAAAGACCTGTACAGGTTTGAAAAGCGAGCACAAGAGAACCTAATGAGGTTCAGCAAGGCCAAGCACAGGGTGTTGCACTTGGTTGAGGCAATCCCAGATACGAGTACAGACTGGGAGAACTCATTGAGAGCCTCCTTGCTGAGAAGGGCTTGGGGGTCCAGATGCACAAAGAGCTGGACATGAGCCAACCGAGTGCTCTTGCAGCTCAGAAGGCCAACAGCATCCCGGGTTTCATCAAAAGAGATGGGACCTGGGCAGCTTGATCTAGTGAATGAAAACTCCGCCCCAACACAGGGGAGTGGGCATTAGGTGATCTGTAAGTTCACAACAGAGATAAGTAGGTGAAACATGAAGATTTAAAACAAAAACAAAACAAAAAAAAAAAAAAACAGTGCCAGTCTGAGTAATCTAGCACCCTTTCTGTTCCTAAACACCATGAATTCATGATACACAAAACATTTTCTATAAGATCCTTTTGGTTGCTTTACAAATAAATGTCATTGTCGTGTTAACCCCATTTCTTTCAAAAAGAAAAAAAAATACTGACAATTTTAAAAGGGAAAATATTTAAGATATTAAATCTTAAAATATGAATTATAATGTTAATATTTAAATCACTTTTAGCTAAGGTGTTGATGTTTACATGCAAGGGCACTAATGTAATTGTTATGTTTAATAAGGAAAAAACATTCATTCATAGATGACAGTAATAAGTTCCTGCACCTCTGTTCATATAACTATAAGACGCATCTGGAAGGTTTTGTATAGAGTATTTGTCTTCTTCAACTACTAATCCTCCAGTCTCTATTGTTTTGTATTGTGTACCTTCCTACGAGATTCGTCTCCCTGAGTTCCGGGCCCGCACGGAGCCCTGTCAGCACCACGGCCAGCACCCACGTCTCGGCCTCCTGGAGCCAACTTAAGGTCTCACACTGCAGAGTAAAAACCTTTTAACTTGTAAGATCAGTGAATTGCTTTCGTTATGCTTTCTACAGAATCCCGAACAATTATGGACACGGGGAGAGACTTTTTTTTTTTTTTTTTTTTAAGGTGATTAAAGATGCATATAATCAAGCTGCAAATCACAAAGCAATTGAAAAGTGTCTTTTGCTGGTAACCAACACTGACAGAATGCACTGCCAAACTTAACATGCAGTGGTTTGGCCCTGACCAGCAGCCAAGCACTCACAGCTGCTTGCTCACTCTTTTTGCCCGTGTTTTAGAAGAGGTCAGTAGGTTGGAGAGGGGCTCGATGGTCTATTTAGGTGACAGGAAATGCCTCATATATTTCTGTGCTATTCAGGACTAGTAAAAGGAGTATTTGACTTGCTGTGTCTGAGACCAAAATAAATCAGCTTTTTTCATTTGCTTGCTTGTCCAAGGTCTCATGGACTTATTCCATAGTTAAAACATCTGAAGTTAAAAGAGCACAGAGCTAAACTTCATTTACCATCCTCTTTGATTAAATTGTTCCTGCTTTGTACACTGGAAAATTGCTTATGAATGTGCAATGAAAATATAGAATGCTACTTCACTAATTTTCAAACACACAAAATCTATAAAAATTTGATAAATTTTGAAATGAGGTCTCTAACCACTGATAGAGGAGAACTCTAAAGGTGTGTAGCGGATGTGAGTATAGAACATGACACCATACCTGATAGATTAATCCAAGTGTTGCAAGGAATATGCAGAACCACAGTGCTTTTGAATCTGAGCTCAAAATCCGGAGAAAGTTTTCTTATGTGCTAGCTGGGCTAAGCTTGTATTGGCACAGTTGCATATGCCAAATCCATAATTCCACTTCATTTTTAGATTCTCAACTATCATAGATTGACTTGGCACAACTTCCTTTTCCATTTTGGATTCCTTTGACCTAATTTCCTTGGGACTGGTATCAGTGCAGCCTCATTAACTGCAGGGGCATAAATCCAGACTTACAGCAACATAAACGTTAGATCCATATTTATAATGATATCCATATATTCTTCATTATATTCGTGGACAACAGCCTACTAACAAGTCATCCAACTTCCTTCCAAATAGGCAGACTAAAGAAAATAACTTACCAATATCCAGCTACAGACAAAGTGAAATCACATAAAGCGTACTAAAAAGCCTCTATGTTTCACTGTAACATAGTTTTAAAAAAATTAAGAAAAGAAAAATAGCAACTCTTTTCTGTTATGGATCCATAATTGCTTCTGGTGAACTTTATGATTTTAATAGGTCTTTTTAGTCTGCAGTGGTTGAATTAAACAGCAATGTACTATGATTTTAATATTCATAAATGGAATTTGTCTGATGAGACCAAACTAATAAGTCATTACAAAGGGATAATTCAAGAGAAGTCTTATTCTACCAATAATGTATAACATGTAATGTATATTAGGCTCTATCAAAAGAATGAAATTGCACAGAGTTTGTACACTATATAGAAGAAGTCAAATCACATAGGATCTCTTCATGCAGCATTATCATTCAATCATTGCTGCCATTAACAGACACTTCTAAATGTCTTTACAGATGAGTCTGTTAAGCCCAAATCAGTAGAGCTGGAACTTAATTGGACTAAGTGCCTTCATACATCAGTAATTTCTGTTACTTTCTCATTCCAAGTAGGAGGAATAAGCATGTAACAAGTTATCTGTGTCTAGACATTCAGCTGTCAGACATCCCCATAGGTGTTTCTATAGAGCATTGTCATTTTTCTTGTTTACATAGTATCAGTTTGTTTTAGTGCAAAGAATGTTGAATAGTGGACAGGCTGAGGAAAACAAAAGTAATAATGCCAGAACACTGGGGACATTCATTTACTTAAGAAGTCCTAAAACTCCAGAATACTTTTTCAAAAAATACACAATTCATATTTCTCAGTGCTCCCTTTAAGAAACAAGATATGCATAGGCAAAGCAAAGTAAAACATGAAAGCAAACATAGCTCGGCTTCCTGGAATGTTCAAGTATAAAAATACACTGATAGCATCCCTGAAAATCCTAGTTACATTTCTCTTCTCATCTCTCAGTTCTATATTCATCCTCCTTTCTCATTATCAATAAATGCATAATGAAAATTATGATATATTTGTATTTAAATATAAATACCAAAACATTGATTTTCTTGTCATGAAGATGTTGAAGATATAGCAGAGTAGTTGTTATGATCTGCATAGCACTAGGGAAAACACACCTCTATGCAAGAGGGAAGGCTTTCATTCAAATGGCATCCACCTGTAATTTAAAAAGTGAAGGCTTTGGCAAAACAATTATAAATTAAAAATTATTTTTAATGCTTCTAGTAAAAATTTATTGAAATCCAGCTGAGATATTAATATTAGTACTAATAATGCGTGCAATTTACGGTCCTCAGAATCCTAACAGAGAACACAACATTCCTCATCACAGTCTCAGTAGATTTTTTTAGTCCAAACCTTAATCTATGTCTAAAATTAAGAGAGCAGATTTACACCTACTCTGTTCCTCACCTACACTGTTTTTCTTAACATTGCCTTCTTATCATACTGTAAGCAAGAGGGAGGAAATAAGAACAGGAGGAGTGAAGGCAGTCATGAGGAGGTTTCTGAAAAGAGCACGTCCTTAACTTGTTAGGTCAGCAGGTATCTTGGGGTATGCACAGTAGGTGTTGTGGGTAGCTGAATAGACAAAAGGGGTGCACAGATTGACTTGAGCTGATGAAAAATTAGAAATTCCAGAACATTCAAGATTTTCTAAAGTTATGCCTATGATTTCAGAAGATAACTGAAGTCCAGAGATAGAAAATAGATTCACTTAACACTTTTGTATTAATTAGCATAAACAAGTTCAATTTTATTTAAAAAGGAGGCATAACTCAAAACCTGAAGTACTATCACTAACCATCTTCCACTAACCCTCCTGCATGCATACCAAGCATAGAGGACTGATCTAAAACTAGATTCCAAGACAATTCCTGTTCGCTCAGTTTGTCTCTCAATTTGCTGTGAAATGTTATTGATTGATAGAATGCAGCATTTGCTACCTAACTGACTACAGTGTGGATAGATAATAAAGTGTGTGGATTGTTGTTAATCTCTTCTATCTTTCTCATTAGTTATTCCTCTTTATTCTATCCTAGCTTGTCCAGTTCTTTTTTTCCTCGTTGTTCCTTCCAACTCTCATTTATGTTGTTTCACTTCTCCCATCCTCCTTCATTGCATCCTTTCTCAAAATGTAACATCTTTTCCATCTCACTCAACCTACTTCAGTCTCTTACTCACAGAATCATGGAATTACAGAATAGTTGGGGTTGGAAGCGGACTATGGAAAATCCCTTAAAAACAGTTTCAGTGTCTCAACAATTGGTGCATTGCTGAGTGGTAAAGAAGGTCAGGAAAGCATGTGCTCAGTTTGTAGATGGAATTTGGGAACCAAAAGTACTCTCCAAAGACAGTATAGGATAAGGTGGAGGACGGAGTGTGCCACTCACACTTGGCAAGTTAGTAACATCTAGGTAGCCTGTGACCCCTGGTAAATCATCTCATTGTTTTCTTGGGCTTTCCTACTTTCCTGGAAATCTGCCAGTAATCTTTTGGAGACAGCTATTGCATTTTAATGTTTTTGTGCCAGACCTAACAACGTGCAATATTCATTGTTCCTTAATTTTTAGTTTGTCAAAAACGTTTTCAGCTAGAAACATTTCTGCCAAAATCTATTGTATCTTTAATAACTCTTATGAGTATGTCTTCTCTATAATTTAGGCTACTATTACATTTTGATATTTGTTTCACTGCTTCCCATTTTTCTACAAAACTTGTGGAAGTGAAGGACTGTAGCTATTCCGCTCCACCTAAGCAGAATGACTTGCTGTTTTCTGCTCATTGGACTTTATCAACATCAACAGGAACAGGATGCCTGAAAAATTTAGGCTTGGCCTTTTGGTTTGCAGTGCTGGTGGAATAGAGGGGTCATACACCTATGTATCATCAGTGTACATAAATATGTATGCATAGGCAGATTTCATCCACATTTCTGTACACTCCAGAAAATACTACCAGAACTTCCCCCTTGCTGTTGATCTCTTTACTTGTCCAAGGACAAATATTCCAGTACTCAAGACATCACTTACTGTAGCTTTATAATAAATATTGTAGTGCTTTTAAGAGTGGGCCAGATCCAGCTTAAAAAAAAAAAAAAAAAAAAAAAAAAAAGAAATCACAAGATCCACTAAAAAATGCCTGTGCTGGAATTTATGTTCTTAAACACCATGTAAATCATTTCCCCTGCCTTCCTTTTGTTGCCAATGTGCTTACAGAAGCCCTTCACTTTGCCCTTTATATTCCTTGCTAGTCCCCAGGCAAGCCTTGACTTTCTCAGCTCCATCCTTCTATGTTTGAGCACTGCCTCTACATTCCTCCTAGGGCATCCATTCCTCCATCTTTTTTTTATGTGCTCCTTTTTGGGGTTTGAGCTCATTCAGGATTTCCCTGTTGATCCATACTGACCTTTCCCTGCGCTTGCTCACCTTTCTGCTCATCAGAAAGGACTGCTTTTGTTCTCCAAGGAAGTTCAACCAGCTCTCTTGTGCCCTGTTGTCCTCCACATCAGCTTGCCATTGGACCCTACCAAGAAGATCCCAAAAATCCATTCTCCAAAAGTCCAGGTTATGATTTTTTTTTTTGTTTTCCTCACTTCTAGGACTTAAAACTCTATAAGAACTACAACTCCACTGTAACAAAGTCCACCTTTAACCTGCAATGGTCTACTTGTTAAAATAGTTTTCCACTTAGTGGGATGTTTTAGCTTCTCTCAGTCTTTTGAATCCTTCAGTTTTGCAAGGTCTGGATTCATTATAGGCTGATACAGCATATATATCCTTCCATTTAATAAAGACATTGAGCCACTTTAGGCAAAGAGCAGATCTCCATAAGACCTATTAAAACACCCTGGTAAGTGATGTACAATTCACATTTTGCAACTTACATGTCCACTAGACTAGTTCTAAATTTGCTCAAAGTAGGTTGTATTTTTTTTTAATATTCTTTACTCAGATATAATGAATCTGAATTATACTCCTTAGTTTTACTAACTTTACTTCTAATCCAAATACAAAAAATACCAGATTTTTTTTGCTAAGGCTATCAACAAAGCTACATTGATTGCTGTTACAATCAGAAAGATTAACGCAGAGGAAAGGCAATTCAGGAGTGGAATGGCAAAAGGGACAAACAGGAAAAGAACGCTCACCTGTCTCTGAAGACCTAGGCTCACAGGCAAAAACTCCACAAGGGAGGAATCTCCAACCAGAGATCCTTTCCCACTACCAGTCAGCCCTTAAATGGGGTCTAAGAGAGGTGCAGCCAGACTCCACCCCTTCTGGTCACACAGCTGAATTGCCTTCATTTGTGCTCCCAGGGCTGACTGGGTCCTTTCCCCAGGTGCTCAATCAGCTGTTCAGGCTGTGACTCAATAGTTCCCATACAATTGCTGTTAATTAAACATCTTCATTAAATTCCATTTTGATTGCATTTTGTATCAGCCTTCTTGCGATTCTGCTCAAAATCACTCTACAGCTGATGCACCTATTGTTTCAAGGTGATGGCAAGGAGGAAAAAGACATGAAGGAGAGAAGGAAAAGTTGTAACAAATTTCACGTCTGAATACTTTTGTTTTACTGATCCCTGTAGCACTGGCTATGTTCAAAGGTTATGATAAGAATTATTCTATTTGTAATCAGCAATGAAGCTCATCCAAAAAGAAAGTGTCTCTGTTCAGTTTGCCTTTGAAATACATTTTGCATAGTCTCAACAAAATACTTTTCAAACATTTGAATGTTAAGGAACTTTTTAGCTAGTTAGTAGGGGCTCGGCAATGTTTATCCCTTGACAATGAAAATTAATGTTAGATATCATGCAGCTTTTAAATAAAGTGACAAGCTTATCTAGAGAGGTAGTACATTTGATGTGCTCATTAGTGTAAAAACTTGAGGTGGCAGTGTATGAGTAAGCCAGGCTGCAGTGGCTGTGTTTGTATACAGCATTGTCTAGCTCAGTCTAAATTACAAAGATAGTAGACAGAGAGGTGTGGTGAGCAACATCTTAAATCAAGCAAGTGTCAATTCAGCCTCATTTCCTGATTTAAACAATTACATAGCTGACTAACATATACTTAAAAACACAAAACCTAATGAATAAGCAATAAGACTACTCGACCTATATTCAAAGCAATTGTTAGCTTCTATCCTCTGTATTTGAGTTCTGTCTCATTCACCGTGGAGCTTTCTGAAGCTGCTATTTTTGCCCACAGATCAAGTTCTCTCTCCATGATAACCCCAAAAAACGACAGTGGACAGAACATCACCATTGCCATTACTGTTCTGCTGGTCCGGGGGATGCATTTTGTCAGCATGTTCCTCTAATGTTGAAAACTGATGGTTGTTCAATTTTTGTTTTGTAATAAAATAACATAGAAAATCAGAAGAAAGTTTTCCTGGGTTCCTCAGTTCATTAACAATCACCGTCTTTTGCTTTGAAGAGCTCCAAAGGCAATTCCCAGTGGTCACATAAGACCTAAAATTTTCTTTGTTCAACAATACTATCATCACAATCTCCTCTTTTTTCCTTCTCCCCCTGTTCAAAATCCATGTCTTTGCTCTGGTCCCTCTCTCTTCTATTAGAGAAACTTGTATCCACCAGAGATATCCAAAAAACAGATAAGAATTGCTACAATAACAAGCTCTGCAGATGTATTCATATGAAACAGGATCTTCTTTGACCTCTAGGAAAAAAAGGGACAAGGTCTCATCCTGTATTATTACCTTAACTGACTTTAAAACAATACTTCACTGAACTGCCACCCCATGATGCAAAAAAATAGCATGGGTAGTTTTAGCTCTGCATGTCAGAAAGGCTCAGACCTGAGAATAAAATAAAAGCCTTATTTGGCTCCCAGTGGTAGTTATTTTCAAAACTTCTTGATTTTGTTTCCAGATTGAAGTCATTCTTGATAACTTTGCAGCCACCAGCTCCAGCTCTAAATTATTGGGGTGTGACAAGGAAATTCCCAGCTAAATACAATTGTAGAAACTAAATTTTCCAGAATTGTCCACATAAAGCACTGCAACTCTGCCTGGGTATGTATCTTAATTGCCTTATTTGTTTCTTAGTGGCAATAGCATCACGAGCTCCTTTATCTCTTACTGTCTACTCTGTTGTTGCAAGCAGGCTGAAAAATTACCTAACTAGAAATGAATTCCAAACCGCTCGATTAAGGTGCTTTCTACCTCCTGACGCCTGGCAAAAAACCACTTGAAAATAAATGCCATAGAATTTGAGAGTGTTGTGCTTTGATTCATTTTTTTTTTTAAACTGTTTTTGTTTACAAATATTTCCTTTTTGTCACAAGACAGAGCGCAGAGTGATTAATTCAAGAGTGAATGCCTGTATCATAGACATTTAAAATTAAATGGGATTAATCCAACCTTTACTGACAGCAGTGTACTTCAACTGTTCTCCTTGAAATCTCGTATACTTTCTGGGTCTCCTTTTGAAGGTCCAGTTTAGATTCACTGCCCATAAAATTGCCTGCATCCTAGGTCTTCAAAGGACAGTCAATGCCTGCAGCAAAGCGGCAAATTCAGAGAAGTGAGACTTAATCCATTTCTCAACATGGATTCAGTCTTTGGAAGCCTTCATTCTCCTCCTTGACTGGTTAACTTACAGATTCATTTGCAATAGGTCTAACTTAGTCCAACAAGCCATAGACTGGATCATGCTCCCTGAGAGAAAGATTCCTGTTGAAGAATTGTCTTTTTACTTAGTTACTGCTGGAAAACTGTTCAGAACCTGAATGTTTGAGTACTGAAATTATTCTCTGAATTTCAGGCCTAGAATTAATTTATACGAAATTCACTTCATTTATGCTGCACTACCTCCCCTTAGTTTAAAGAGCTCTCTTCCTACATTGATCTTTACATTTATAGGTAGCGATCACATCTCCTTTCAACTCCTGATTTAGTGTACAAAGAGCCAATCTCCCATAGGCTTCCTATTTCCCTAACTGTCTTGCTAACCACTTCAAAAATACACTCCCACTTGAGATCATCTTCACCAAACAGTACTGCATAAAGCATCTGGCAGGAGGACTCAAACCATTCTGAACTTGCATTTATACTTGCAGGTCTGTGAAAGCTGGTTTGGTGGAATTTCTTTTTTTTTTTTCCAGTGAGATAGGCAAGAAGGATACACTTTTATCTAGGACATCTACAATAAAGCTACACCTGCTGTCAAAACCAAATGAGGCTGTCACAGAAGGCATCCAGTAAACACTGGGCTGAGGAATAAGAAATGCATCCAGTTGCACAGGTCTGGCATCCCAAGTGATTGCTGCTGGTGCCCTCCTGAGGGGCTTTTGATATTGCACTGGGTACTAAGTGCAAAAGGAAATAGTTGGAACTGGATAAAACTTACTTCCTTGTGTAAGGAATAGAGTTTGGATTAGCCACGAGGAAAAAGCACCCCTTCATAGTGCTGAGGTGACCAAATGCTTGAATACTTTTGACAAGAGGAAATGCTGAGTCCAAAGCAGTCCAGCTCCAGGACCATGAGATGTGTCAGAAGACTCTTAAAAAAAATAAATAAATAAATAAAATTTATCAGCATTCACAAGCAGAAAAGGGCACAGAAAGGAAATGGAATTTCCCTTGTTTTACTGAAATTGCTCATATAGAAATCCTCTGGCATCAATGTGCTTGTTCTTAAACGTTGGTGATATTTTTGCTGAAGATGGCAAAGGCCACTAGAGAGGAAGGTTGTAAGGATCTTTATGGTACGGCATATTCCTGTACAAATCCACAGATCTGCAGGAGGAGATCTGTGGAGCTCAGGTGTGGGAAAGGGTAGTGGGGCATGTAGTTATATGAAATACTTTCACATCTGTCAATTGCTTAAAAGGTAAGGGTCCAGTTGTTTGTCTTCTCTGTATCAACACAGAAGCTTCAGTTGTTTGCTGCTAATTCATGACACACCATTTATACCATGGCTGACATTTCTACCTGAACTACATCCAATCCATTTTATGCTGAGTCCATTCTTTCCAGTACATGTCTCAGTAGGAAGTCAGCCTTTTGAGATGGAGTAGACAGCAATACAGAAATAAATAAATAAATAAAAATCAATGCATAAATAATACAGAAATGCCTAAGTATACGTACCTCATGTAAGCTATGCAAAATGTGTTTGATTTAATTTTTCAAAAAGGCAGAGATAAATTCAGTAAGTAGGAATAATATTATACAAGTAACATTAAATTTAGACTGTTCTAAATCTTGTATTTAAAATGCTTGCTGGCCTTGGATTTTAAAAAGCTGCAATAAAATATTTCTCTCTTGGTTTTGGAGAGATTCCAATGCAAAAAAATGCAAAGAATAAATCATGTTGTTGGGTCAGAGCACTGCCTTGCAAAGTCACCAGCAGTAGCCAAAGCTTCAAATAATTATGAAAAAGTTCCTAAGAATGCCAAATAAAAAACATCCACTCCCCTTGGAATTTCCTCTTAACAGCAGTCAGCTGGTTTTTACCCTGGAATGTAAAGACTTCTGACTGTAATTATTTCTAGTCAGTAATCACGATTTTTAGGGTTCTGATGAGATCTTGAAGCAGTAACTTCTGAGTGCTAATCATGCACATGTGAAAACACCTTACTAAGTTCCATTCAAATCATCCCTAACAAATACAAAAGTTAGGATTTCCCAGGCTTTGGAAAGGTATTTTGCTGAAGCATTTAGAATGTTTTACTGATACAGAATAAAGAAACAAGTATGGGTCAAGGAGGGAGATCAGAATTAAAAAGAAAAATAAGTTACCTTAAAATTATTTGTGAACAAATATTTTGATTATTTTGGTGGCTTTAGTCTTTGTGATCAAACATATTTCTATATAAATAGATGTAAGTAGTAACTCTTTAAGGGAAGAAAATCTTGAAGAAAATGTACCAGTAAGGAAGAAATTTATTCCTTGGTCAAGCACAGGTTAATTAGAAAATAATACACAGAGCAAAGACAAGTGGCCAGACTGTTTTAATACTTCTACTGTGTGTATATAACCCATAGGAGAAGAGAGGAGAATCTTCAAAGTAGGTTGAACTTGCACTATGAAGCACTGAAAGAGATGAAGCTGAAGAAAGTTATTTTGGCTAAAGTCAAGAAAAGTATACCATGTTATGATTAAAAAGATAGGCGAGATGAAATTAGTGAAGTGGACATTCTTAAAAAGAGGGTGCTGGTTAATTATCATCAAGTAAA